TGAGTGTGTGTGGGTAAGTGGGCATGTAAGTTAATGATGTCTGCAGTCGTTCTAACTGTCGCCGCCATACAACCAAGTGAGAGAGAGAGTGGTGCTTACGGCTTAAAAGGATATGAGAGCCCACTTAGCTCGCGCGCACACACACACACACTCTCATACTCATACACCAGCCCATGGGATTTTATAGATGTTGAATGGGTTTTTCGTTTGTTGGCCAGAGGTGAAAGTGGATTTGTTTGGGTTTTTCACCGTTGTAGACTTGGCCGTCATATTGGCATGTTGCTCGACTGCTCTGCCCAAAAGATGATGATGGCACTGGTGGTGGTAGTTGGGAAATTCTATGTCAACACACGGAATTTTCAGCCAACCACCGGCAACGAACTGCTGAAATTTGGTTGGAATTATGTTGAGTTCTTGTTTACAAGTTAGTTGTCGATGACACTTCAAATTGTAAGCATCAGCATCATCATAAAGACGCGTCCTTAAAAACGTATCCGTTTGAAAGTACCCACTAAAGTGTAACAGCAAAAACAAAAAAAAACCCAAACAATCCTCCAAAACACCCATCACAGAAATTTAAACAAACGGGGAATTTTATAAAAAAATTAAGGAAATTTTAACAAAATAAATTGACAAGTGTAAAGAAAAATAGAAAACCCCAAATTAACAAGGATATTCATTTTTGAAAAAGGATATTTATATTACAAACAAGGATAATCCCAAAAAAGTGCAAATTATTTAAAATTGTTGAAGACATAACTTTTTCTGTTAAACGTTCAAATACCGGCTTCAAAGTGGCTGAAAAAAGGAAACGTTCCCCCTCACCCTCAGCGGGTCGTTGTTCGCCTACGCGACGCAAATCCTGTGAATCCACATCGCCGCCTGACAGCCAGAAAAGTAATTCGCCTGCGGCCTCGCCACACAAGGATTCAGATATATCGGTGTGTTCACCGGCCACACCCCGGCAACGTCAGGCCCGATCACGATCACGTTCACCCTCGCCTCCACCACGCACCTCTACACCCACAACGCGCACCGCCAACGACATCAAACGTGAACCGGTCAAAACAACGAGCACCACAACCGTTCCCACAAATAGTGCCACATTGGGTCAACAGGATCATCTGAGAATACCCACAGGAGCGACGGGTTTCAGTGGATTTCCTTCGTTGCACAACATGAGCAGTTTGATGGTACCCTCGGCGGCAGCTGCTGCTGTGGCGGCGGCACCGTTTTTGCCCTGGTCGCCAATGTTGCTGCCGCCATGGGGTCATGCCCTGCTGCCAGCGGCTTTCTATCCGGCGGCTTTGCGTAACGCTCTACCAGGGTAAGGATTTGAAAATGCTTTTCAATTAAAAAAAGACTCGAAAATCGCTATTCAAAGTTTGGGTTCAGATATGAAGTTATATCTCCAATTGAACTGGGTTTGAAATTGGGGATATTATGAAAACTCAGTTTGGCGTTATGGGGAGGGTCCCAGATGGAGGACGCCAAAATTGAGAATTATATAGTTTTCAAGTCTAAAGATGGGGTTGGATATAAATTGAAGTCTAGCAAAGGGTTTATCCTGTATTTGGTGTTATATTTATAAAGGAGTCTATACTCCTTAAAAGTGAGACATACCTGCAAAGAGAGCTTAGAATGTACATAGCTCATACAAATTGATGGACTAAATGGGGATTTCTACATTAGGGGGAAATCCAAAAGGAGATATAATTTTTTGGATTTCGAAAATTCTGAATTTTTATAATTTTCGAATTAATATAGCTATGACCAAATAATATGTATAGCTATATAATTTAAAAATATATGTTACCTTCACTTTACATTTACGTAATATGTACTTTGCGGTCCTGTTACTGAAACGTATTTTTTATAATTAAATAAAAATCACGTTTCATTTTTGTTTTTATAAAAAATAATAAATTAATATTCATATCAGGAAAAATATACCTGCTAACCTTCGGCTTATTGTAAACTGTGGTTTATCCCCAGACAAGTCCTGTGATATTTTCCCACACCAAAGGCCATAAAATCAAAAATTTCCCCTAACACCCATAAATCATATGGGGAAATTTATTTAAATGGCTTTCGTGGTTATGTATTTATAAAATACGAGATACGTTAAGTTTACGCGTACGTTACAGATACGTCAATATTTTTCATAAAAAATTTATAACTACAAATTTTTGCAGAAAATTTAAAAATCCAAACATTTTTGTAATTATTTTACAACTGAACTTTAGGCAATTCGAGCCTGGGACACTCCGACTGATATGTTTCCACACGAATCTCCTCAAACTTCTCAATTTCCCATAATTTCCACAAATCATATTTTATCTATGTTCCTTTCTGGTTTACATTCCAAAAATTTGCGCTAGATTAACGTTTTTATTAGACTTACCTCAAAATTGATATATATCAATTATAAATCGGAATTCTGTTCAAACTCAATCAATCCATAATTATATTGCAACACCATCCTACCTGATTGTCTCTAGTCTATGGTTTATCCCCTGAAATTTCCCACACCAATGGCCATAAAATATGTAAAATATCCCAAAAAATATCTTAAATCACATTGGAAAATGCTAATCTTCATAAAATGGATAAAAATTGAATTTATTTATGAAAGCCCCTTAAAACATTATTTTACCCCACGTTGGGCGCCACTTGTCAATTATGGAAGATTTTAATATTTTTTACCAATAATTTTTCAAATGTTCCAAAGTTTATCGTTCATGTCAATGTCTTAATAATAATAGTTTAGAATTGTTGTCTGCCTGCTAAAGTGCCCCCCCCCCCCTCTTTTGGGCGCCATTAAAATGCATCATTATTTTTAGAAACCGATATGTTAATTTACTTTCCAATCGTAAATACATAGTACTGATTGTTTTCCATTCTACACTATGCCAGAAAAATCAATAAATCAAAAATCAATCAATCAAAAATCAATTGAACATACTTTTGGAACCCCATATTGGGCGCCAACTAAAATTTGACATGTTTCTAGGTGCAGCTTTCCAATCTGCTTTGTAATCCTTGTCTGTTTCCTTGTATTCCCTTCAAACCAAATTACGTCAAATACAGCTATCAACCAGACACAAATTTAGGACCCCACATTGGGCGCCAATTGCACAAAATCATTATTTTTATTTTTTGAAACATATATGATATATGCTTACCAATTGAACAATTTTCCTCACTTTGAACTCCCCGTTGGGCGCCCTTTGCCAGATATTTATTTTATTAAAAGAACACGAAATAAAACAATTCTGTCTTGCTAAATTAATCCGGAAGGCGGATCACAAAATTGTTATTGGAAACAATTAAAAGTTACCAATCGAATCAGTTTTGTCCCGCTATCTTAGCCAAGACAAATTGAGGTACAAAATCCCCATTCTATGCGACCAAGTGGAAGGTTCCTAATCACATTACCTTGCCTACAACTTTAATTAGATCCCTCTCACGAGTCCTCTTGATAGTTCCCCCATTACCCTCACACACAACGTCGGCCACGAAAATCCTGCGAATTGTTTAAATCATGTGAGGAAAATGTTCACGTAATTTCCACACTGTGTTATGATAAACCCACAGCGATAGAATTCCCCTCTCTACAGCAGGGGAATTACCAATCAAAAATTGGGATTAAATATTTTTCCAGCTTATAAACAGTTACATAAAAAACATTGATGGAATTTTCATTTGCCAGCCAAAAAAATCCCCCAGGTGAGCTAGGAAAAACCATAAGAAAATTTCTTTAATTTCAAACATGTGTTGACCAGACGTTCACAGCAAAATGTCCAGGACGACAACGACGACATAAAGTCTGTGCTGGCAGACACGGGGGATTCCTTGCAGCAACAAGAGGAATTTCCTGTCTAACTAGCTCTCTTTCTCTCGCCGTTGTGTGCCACAGGATATTGATCCTGTGTGTCTAGGCAAAAGGTAAATACCAAGCTGCCAAGTTGATCATCATCATTTGAGGTGTTAAATTTGTGCTGCGTGTTTGCAGCTAAGTAGGTGGCCTGTCCGGGGCGTGGGAATTTTCAATAAATTGCGAAAATCATTTCGGTTTTTTCCTCGTCGTCGTCGTCGGGGGAAATTTCGTTTACCGGAAAACCCAATTTTACTCAATCACATGTGTTTTGTATTAACAACACTTTTGTGGTTTTACTAAATTACCGGACAGACAGGGCAAACAGGTAGATGCGACGAGACGAGGGAAAACTGAAGCGTGCCTATGCTGTAAATTAAAGTAAGGCTTAAGCAGGGCTTTTCGTTAATTGTTGATGGTATTAAATTAAGGAAAATCAATTTTCCTCTACTTCAAGATTAACTGGCAATAGTTTAACTTTGAGGTTTTAACATTGACTCAATTTCAAAGCAACTAGGTTGGCCGCGAGGACTGGATTATATTATTCCGATACAAAGACGTGAGCAAGACGGGAAAAATGTGTGAATAATCTGCGAATTTGGGAAGTGAAATGAAATAATCTTTGACACATTTTGAAATAAACAAAAAATACGATTTTTTCAAAACCTCAGGGAGGTGCAAAGAAGAAATTTAAGACGAGAAATAAAATCAGGAAAATATTTAAAAATAATAAAGAAGGAGACAACCAATTATATACTTCCTCTCTCAGAAATGCGATAAAATACAATAAATAAAAACAAAAATATATATTTTTTGAAATAATTAAAAATTAAACTAGCCATTCTATCCTCTCTCTCTCTCTCTCTCTCTCTCTTTCTCTCTTATAAGTCAATTTCCATTGCATCATTTTCAAATGTTTCGTTTTACCTGTATTTAAAACAGGATTTCCCTAAATTACATGCCTAGGTACATTGTTGCCTCTCTCAGCTATATAAAACATTAACTTTTCCCTAATTGGGCCATAAACAGGCCCTAACTAGCAATTTTGTCATGGAACAATAAACCAATCACGCATTTATTTTAAATCTGAAATTAATTTTGTCTCTCTTTTTCTCTCTTCTAGCCTTTTTGATGCCAAGGTACCCTCATCGCAAAGATCTTCCGGTTTCCACATATCGGACATATTAAACCTAGAACAATCAGCTGAACTAAAAAATGGTCTAGTCCATCATCATCAACATCCTCATGCCGCCGCCGCCGCGGCCGCCGCTCATGCCAATGATATTTCTGTCCCGCCCTCTACCGATGCCAATAGCAATCATCTGACATCAGCCAGTACCACTCTACCGCCCACAACATCAAATGAATCGCTTGGAGATCAACATCATCATAATGCTCACATAGCTTCGGCCCAAACGCACAATCCTTTGGCCCATCACGGCGGCGATGTTGCAACATCAGCCGCTGCAGCGGCCGTTACTCAAGCCCAGGCGGCTGCCCATCTTTTGGCTAGTCATCATAATGCCGCCGCTGCTGTGGCAGCTGCTGGACAATATTTGCCCAAAGGTTTTCCGAATGGTTTCAACGATGATATGTCGTCGTATCATCATATGGCCCATACCATGTTGACGCATACGGGTCGGGCCGCATGGATGAAGGAGAATGAATTGTATGGTAAGTTAAAATGTTCGACTTGGAAATCTTTTTTTACACGTTTTCTGTAAAATTTTGGCGAGTCGAGTCTTTTTAAAGCGATTCGCACGAGCTCTCAGTCTTTTTTGTGGTTCAAAATAATTAAGATTCCAGTAGCCAATGATAATTTGTGTTCTACTCAGAGATTCTTTAGCTATGAAATTTGATTCGTAATTACGTTGGGCGCCATTTGCCAGTTATTATTAGATTTTAAAGTAATTTTGGTGAATGTGATATTGTGATTACCAATAGAAATCTTGGTGTTCTATATTCGCGTTGGGCGCCATTTGTAAAAGAAATGCATTTTGGTGATCTTTAGATGTCCTTAGCCCTGAAAGAATCATTGGCACTCTAATAAATTTGAATTTTAGGATAGTGACACATAGATTGTCTATTCTTCTTAAAATCCAAAAACTAACCAATTTAAAATAATTGCGAGAATAATTTTTAAGCTTTCCAAGATTTTTAATAAATATTTTTTTTGCGTTGGGCGCCTTTTTAATATCAACGAACTTTTTAGAAGCATTTGAGTCACATGTGATATTTTTAAGAAAATTTATGTATTTCCTACTCTATCCATTACGGCCTCCCATTGGGTGCCATTTTTTTTCTTTTGAAACGACTAACTTAATTAAGCTGAGTTGGAATACAAATTACTGCCAACTGGTTATACATTTTTGAATAATCTAAAGTGAAGTGTTTTCTGACTAACTTATCGCTGCTGTTGGGCGCCATTTTCCAATTATTCGAATTATTCTTATAACTTAACTAATGTGTGATATTTGGATTATTTCCCTATTCCATCCATCAATAGTGAGGCTCCCATTGGGCGCCACCACTATATATCAACATAGCTTATCTTTGATCTCAACTATGTCCAAATCTAGCACTTTAGTGTGTCTCCCATATTCAGAAATTCTTGAAAGATTGTCAATAGCATGTGAGGCTCGAATAACAAAAATTAAAATTCCCTGTTCGGGTGCCGTTTCTCAAATTTAAGAATTTGCCAGATTATGTCTACTAATCGATGGGAGATATTGATAATTTCACATGTTGGGCGCCATTTTCCAATTATTCGAATTATTCTTACAACTTAACTAATGTGTGATATTTGGATTATTTCCCTATTCCTTCCATCAATAGTGAGGCTCCCATTGGGCGCCACAACTGTATCAAAAAAAAAATTCCCAACTGTGTCCAAATCTAGGACTTTAGTGTATCTTCCATAATCAGAATTTTTTGAAACACAAGTGAGTCTTGAATAACAAAGAATATAATTCCCTGTTTGGGCGCCGTTTCTCAAATTTAAAAAATTGCCAGAGTATGTCTACTAATCGATGAGAAATATTGATAATTTCAAATTCCTTTTTAAATTAACCTCGGACAATAACCCCACGTTGGGCGCCATTTATTTTTTTCTTTTTTAGTGTTAGTTTTTTTGTTTTTAATGTGATTGCTTGACTGTGTTAATTTTTTTAACTAGGATCTGTTGCCAAAATGAAAAAGGCCGCCGCATGACTTTTCTCCAATATTTCCCATACCTTAGTTTAAATATTTGCATTTTTTGTCCAACATTTTGTTAATTTTCTTCTCCAATATTCTTGGTATTTTAAAATTCAATATCCCTATTGTTTTATTTTTTATGATTAATTCCTCGTTTCCCTGCCAACCGAAAATCGAAAAACCCCGCTAATTTTGTTTTATCCAATTAATAAATAACTTAATAACAACAAAACTCATTCATACTGCTTCGAAGTGGGGGAGGGGGGTTAATAACTTGCTTCATTGACTGCAGTTATTCGCGTTCAAACAGCTGTACAAATTCCCATATTGTTGAGATCCTTCGTTAGCTGGCATAGAAAATGAAAAAAGGAAGTGCGTGCCAAAAATAAGCATTCATGGTATGGCAACTAATATAAAACTCTAACAAAATAATCCTTAAGTGTGAAGCACCCATACAGGAAGGACTATTAGTCAAGATTAAAAACAAAAAAAAAAAAAAAACTTCAACGACAGGCAAATGTGAATCCCAAAAAACAACATATTAAGGGGTGGTTATTTTATGAAAATAATAAACAAAACACTAACTATCAAAAACCAAAAAAAAAAAACGAACGTTACAAACAGGACTCGGTAAAAAAACATCTGCCTTTTTGCCAAAAAAAAACAGAAGTAAAGACAACAAGGGTATGGGCCACCCATCTCAAGTGAGTGACTAGGTTAATAACAATGCTACCATTGAGAGAAATATGTCCTTAAATAACTTTTTAACTTACAATTAGTGACAAGCCAAGAAGAATCCCTCTCCCAATCTCCATCATTCTCTCAAATGATGAACAAATAAACTGGAAAATTGCTGCCTAATTTGTACAAATATAACAAACATCTTTGCCAAGATCAATAAAATACAAGAGACACACCCCATGACCTAGCCGCATACATGCCATGCAGCAACGACAACAACAAAAACAAAACCTCAATTCATGGTTATTTACATAGACAACAAATTTTAACAGGATAATAGCACGGTTATAAAATCAAAGAGAGCGGGGGGATATTTTATACATACATGCGAGGGTTGATTCCCGCTCACTCCATCTCTGCGACCGCTGGCAAAAGTCACACCATCAATCTTTGTTCAACAAAGCCCCGAAAACCAACCTCAGGGAAATCAGAGACCCAGAGAGAAGAGAAAATCGAATCTCAATTAATCCTTAGACATTTAATAATAATATATGACTGCCACACAACAAACTCTTCCTCTTAGCCATTCATTCGATTTTAACAGGAACTACAAACTACCTGGTTCGCTTGCCGTTCATTCATAAACACAATTCAATAACTCTACGGGTGTTCCGATACACAAAAGAGCCAATTGTTTCAAATCCCAGTTCTCTGTGATGCCATAAAACAACAATTGTTACTTCCTCCGCTCGGCTAAAGGCTGACCTTCATTGCCACTGCCAAGGGTGGGTTATTTACATCAATTTCCCCTGTTCAGGCGTACTATCACTATCTCACTGGGTTACCGCCTGCATGACTGACTGGCTGGCTGGCTGTACTCTTGTTTCTGTTTGATGTTTCTGCTGTTGTTGTTGTTCGTTAGAAATCAAAAGCCAAAAACTGACATCCCAACAATGGAAAACCTCAAATAGAGGTGTGATCTAATGGACCATCCTTCCGGTTTGTAATATTGGTTTTGTGCGACATTGTCATTCAAATAAAAAAAAAACAACAACGGTGGAGAAAAGACTCAAATGTCCTTTTGTTAGAATAATTTTATTACGGAATTAAAACAGAATTCCCTTGATGTCTGGATCTAGGGATGTTTGAATTCAAATTTCCCCTAAAAACAAAAAAATTTAAAAGAAAACATATTTTCATGACTGGCCTTCTCTCGAATGATTTGTCCTTTTATATGGAAGAGCGATCGCTCTCTCTGACACTTTCTTAAATTAATTTTCATAAGGTTTCTAAACATAAAAAATTGTTATTAATTGGGCCAATTACGGTGGGTGATGAGGATGCCCCTTACCTCTTACTAGAGATTTTTTTAGAATCTTAGAAAAGAACTATTGTCTGGTAGTGCAATATGAGAACCCCACGTTGGGCGCCACTTGACAATTATTAATAATAAGTTAAATCTGAAATATTCCATGTTGGGCGCCATTTGCAATTGATTTGAATTGAGTTAATTGATTTGAATTGAGTTAAGGTTTTTTTTAAAAATGTCTTCTCATTGTTAGCATTTTTTTAAATTTCCAACTAAAAATGTTCCTCCATTAAGAAGCGGCCCCACATTGGGCGCCATTTGTCAATTATTCGTGGTTTGAAAAAATATTCCTTAAAAAAACTCCTCAGTTTTGTAACAGACGTTTTAAACCATCATAAATGTCTTACTTTTTATACTGAGGCATTATAACAAACTCACGTTGGGCGCCATTCGCAATTGTTTCCAGTTTTAAGAACCATTGAGTACGAAGTGATTGTCCACCTTCAAATTTTTGTACCATGGACTTTTCTTCGTTGCAGGAACCACATCAAAATCCCACGTTGGGCGCCATTTACAAAAGTCTTTATAACTGAAATGAATCTGGAATTAGTCTCCCTAATTTCATTTTTTACTACTTCTTCCCTTTTCTTTTATAATAATTTACTAACTTTCCTCTCCTTCTTCTTGTCTCCTTCCAGGTGTCCAACAACCCGCCAGTCCGGACAGCACTTCACCCGTCAATTCAGAAGTCTCCTACACCTATATTGGTTCAAATTGCCAAACATCACCCGCCCTATCGGGTGATTACAAAACCTACAGCCGCTCAGCCGACAGTGATGCCTTGTCTGTGGGTGGTGGCGATAGCTCCAATCTTCATCATCTCCAACATGCAGCCAATGGCCATGGTCTGAAGAATTCCAATGACAACAGCGCCGGTGGCAACTCATCCAATCCACACGATGACAGCCTCATTGAAGATGGCATTGAAGAAGAAATCGATGATGAAAATGATCAGGATGGCAGCAATACAGGGTCCGGTGCCGATGGCATGCCCGGCAAAAAACGCAAACGTCGTGTCCTCTTCACCAAGGCCCAGACCTTTGAATTGGAAAGACGTTTTCGCCAGCAACGATATCTCTCGGCTCCCGAGCGAGAACATTTAGCCAGTCTCATACGGCTGACACCGACACAGGTGAAAATTTGGTTCCAAAATCATCGCTACAAGACCAAACGGGCCCAAAGTGAAAAGGGTGTGTACGATCAACATCCTGCCCTACATGGACATCCGCATCATCCATCTGCTTTGCCTTCGCCACGTCGTGTTGCGGTACCAGTGCTGGTACGTAATGGCAAACCTTGCCTAAGTGATGGCACGAAATTGCCTCAGGATTGTGTGGCAGCCCAAATGCAAAACGCCGCAGCAGCTCATCATTTGGTGCTGGCCAATGGTGCTGCCTATCAGCATGCAGCAGCGGCGGCCGCAGCTGGTATGCATGCTGCCCATGCCCATCAAAGGGCCTGGTGGCACTAGATCCGTCATCATCAAACTATCTTAATAGTGGAATTATAGGCTATTTATCGTTAGAAATGAAAAGCAACTGAGTTGAACTGGAAAAAATGCTGCTGGGTGGCCATTTTGTCGTCAACGCCAAAAGAAATGAACACGCATTTGTTAGAGGGCCCCGCGTTAACACAACGAGTGGTGAATTTGAAAAATTCATGCCACTTGGTATAGGAAACCAAATACAAGCAATATGAAGCGCCATCTAGAAGCGACTCGAATAACCATTGGACAATAACCAACAACAAATTAAAAACAAAACAAAAAACCTTCGCATTGGCAAAACAATTTTTATAAAAAAAAACATTTCTGCCACAAATTAGGGCACAAAAACCATGGGGCACTACCCCTCCCCCCAATGAAAATTGTACATATTTAGGAAAAACAAAAACAACCCCATTTCCTTCCCCCAAAAATCATAAAACTTTTATTAAAGTTTAAAAAACTGTAAATGTTTCCTTAAATTGAAAATAGAAAATTAAAAAAAGTGTGTAAATATTTGAAATCGAAAAAATAAGAAAAAATCAGAAAAAAATTTCCAGGAAATTATTTTAATTTCCCCTCTTTTCCATTTGTTTCTTTCTCCCCTAGTTTTAAGTGACTCTTTTCGGAATTTATAGATTTTAGAGAACAAAAAAAAAAAAAAAAACACGCAAAGCCCAATATGAAAAATGAATTGTGTAATATTCTATTGTAATATAATAATTTTAGTTATTAATTTTTAGGAAAACAAATCAATAAAACTTTATTAAGAAAATGTTAATTAATTTAGTTAATAAATAACAAAAATAAAACAATTATTAAAAAAAATAAATAACAATGGTTTTTTACTAAGAGAATATACAGGGTGACATAAAAAACTGCCATAATTTTTAAATTTTTTTTCACTTTTATTGAATGAAAGCAAAAATGTCGGAGATAGTATCAAATGTTAGAATAAGTTTAGATTTGTTCGAATTGGTCACCTTTGGCACGAAATTTGGCCTTCACACGGACAATGAAACCGTCACCCTCTGTCCGAATGTTGCGGTATTTTGGCCCATTCCCGGCGAAGCGCTTGCTTGAGGTGATCGACACTTCGGTATTTTTTAGTGCCATCCCTGCTTTCCAAAATACTCCAGACACAATAATCCAACGGATTGGTATCCGGAGATTTTGGTGGCCATTGTGAGCTGGAAATGAAGCGAGGAACCTCATTTTGTAACCATTCTTGGGTGACGCGTGCTGAGAGTGATGGAGTCCTGTAGGAATGTCCAAGGTCTGCGGCCAAAATTTTTGCATGCTTAATACACCCTCCAGAATAATTTCGCGATAATATTCGGCATTTATTCTGATGTCACGGTCGATTAATACGAGCGGAGAGCGAACATCGGCTGTTTTGGCGGCCCACATCATCACCATGGCCGGTGCTTGAGTTCTAGTGGCCAACCGAAGGTGCACATTTTCAGCTGACTTCTTTGGCAAGTAAACACGATCATTTTGTTTGTTTACAAACTGCTGGACAACGAATGTTTTCTCATCGGAGAAAACCAAATTCGGCAGCTCACCACTTTCGGCCAAGCGAAGCAACTCATTAGCTCTTTTGAGTCTATTTTCTTTCTGATGCGGTGTAAGTTCTTGCACTTTTTGGAATTTCAATTGTTTTACCACGTGCTCATTTGTCAATATTTGACGAATGGAAGATTGCGATATGTTCAGCTCACGAGCCATTTTCGGCCACAGCGATGCGGGTTTCGATCAAGTCGCTTCTTTACTTTTCGAACCATTTCTGCTGATGTTGCTGTTTTCTTCCGTCCACTTTCTTAACGTCGGGCTACGCTACCAGTATCACGGTAACGAGAGATGGTAGGATACACAAAATATTTATTCACATTAAAATGTCGGAGTGCTCTAACAATAGCCACTTGTGGTTTTTCCAGCCAAATATAAAGAAATCACACTATCACGCTTGAATTCCATCACGAATAACTTTTTTTCTGAAAATCTTTCACCAAAATGCTTTTGTACGCTTATAAACCATATAATGATCCGTGACTGGAATAATTTTAATAGCTGTCGAATGAGTGGATTAGAAATTTCAGAAGTTGATTGCAGTTTTTTCATCTCACCCTGTATATATGGGCCTATGAAAAGATATACAACAAGCACAAAGTTGAGAAATGTTGTCAAAACTGTGTCGAGCTTTAGTCCAGGCGGGCAATATCAGTCTAATCTTTTCTCAAACGTATTTGAGTAAGATTTGGATTTGTAACACCTTCTGTCCGCCACAAAATTTTTATATTTTCTAAATACTAAATGGGATAAAAGGCTAACAGAGTTTACGATTTTGTCCAAATTTTGGACATCGTAACACATATATCACACATAGGTCAGGAAGGGGAAAATTTAAGCAAGATCCTCTCCCACAGAGGGAAATTAAGTCATTTTGAACCCTAAATCCCATATTTAATACAATTCTGTGGAAATATATGGCTACAATGTCTTCCATATCAAATTTAACTTCTATCCCTTCTATTCTATCCCTTTACCCAATATCAAATTTAGTAGCATTTAGATCATTTCACAGAGTTAAAGTACGCATTTTAAAAAAATCTCCATATCTCAACCTTCAGATACCAACAGTGACCTTAATATCTAATTACGGGATTTCAACTCAAATATTACTAAATATGAGGGAAACCTCATTACCAAATTTAGTAATATTTGGTACAATTATAGTACGCATATCCAAAAGCAACCTCTTTTCTCAACCACAGAAACCAACAGTGACATCCACATCAAATTTCAAGATTACAACTCTATTCCTTCAACCAATACCAAATTTAGGACTATTTAGTACTATTCGAACAATTACTGTAGGTATTTTCCAAAAAATCTCAATATCTCAACCACAGATACCAACAGTGACATTAAAATCAAATTTCCGTATTGCAGCTTTATCCCTTCGCCCATTATCCAATTTAGTAGTAATTAATACTTTCCGAGCAGTTATGGAACACATTGCCAAAACCACCTCCATATCTTAACCACAGACAGAAACAGTGACATCTACATCAAATTTCACAATTTCAGAAATGTTTCTTCACACAATACCAAATTTAGTACTACGTAGTAATTTTCGTACAACTATAGTACACATTTCTAAACCACCGCCAAATCTCAAGCACAGATACCAACAGGAATCTGAATACCAAATTTTAGAATTTTATCTCCATCCTTCCACCTAATTCCAAATATGGTACCCTTCGTAACTTTTCTGACAGATGTGTTCTATATTTCCGAAGCCTTCTAAACCATAACTCAAGCACAAGCGCCGGCCATGGTGATGATGTGGGCCGCCATAACAGCCGATGGTCGCTCTCCGCTCGTATTAATCGACCGTGGCATCAGAATAAATGCCGAATATTATCGCGAAAATATTCTAGAAGGTGTATTAAAGCCTTGGGCACGCAAACATTTTGGCCGCAGACCTAGGACATTTCAAAAGGACTCAGCACCATCGCACTCATCACGTGTCACCCATGAAAGGTTACAAAAGGAGGAACCTCGCTTCATTTCCTGCGCACAATGGCCACCAAAATCTCCGGATACCAATCCGTTGGACTATTGTGTGTGGAGTATTTTGGGAAGCAAGGTTGGCACTAAAAAATACCAAAGTGTCGATCACCTCAAGGGCTGCGCCGGGAATGGGTCAAAATACCGCAGAGCAACATTCGGACAGCGTGTGACAGTTTTATTGTCCGTTTGATGGCCATAATTCGTGCCAAAGGTGACTAATTCGAACAAATCTAATCTTATTCTAAAATCCGATGCTATTTCCGACTTTTTTTGCCTTCATTCAATAAAATTTAAAAGAAAATGTAAAAATTATGGCCTTTGACTTTGTTGCAGTTTTTTTATCTCACCCTGTAAGTACGAATTTCCAAAATTCTGTCCTACGATGCAGTAGTAGTCTTACCTCCACATTTCAGGACTCCAACTCTGTCGGATCTCCCAAAATTTAAATTATAACGAATTCGAAATAATAACGAATTTCATACACTTCGTAAATACGCCAATCCTACAATGCAATCGTAATCTTATTTCTAAATTTCAGAATTCCAGCTCTGTCGGTTCGACCAAATCGAAATTGTACCATATGTAGTACACATTCGCACTTATAATGTGGATTTCAAAAACCTTTTGGTACATCCCTCATACACTCCATCAGTGACCCTTACTCCAAATTTAAGTACACTAGAACACTAGTTCGAATTTCCAAGAATTTATTCTACCATGAACAATATTTGTTTGACCCAAGGGCGAACCCTATTGAAACCCTATTGATGGTAATCGATTCAAATTTAGATATAGCTCCCATATGTATATTCATCCGATTTCGGATTAATTGTGCACCAAGTGGCCAATATCAGTCTAAATGACCTAGCACATCCGACCGAATTCATTCTAGAAGCAAGTGCATAAAACTTGGAGAAAATCGGGTATAGCTATAGCTCCCATTTAAGTGTTTCATCCGATTTGGTGTTTAAGTCCCCCACATTCTTAATATTCACTCCACAAGAATGATATTTGGTATCAGATATCAGATATAGGCCAGAAATTCCTCTGTCGAATTTTTCTAGATCGGTTCAGATTTGGATATAGCTCTCATATCTCCAATATCAGGTTTATTGTGCACAGAATGGCAAATATCAGCCTGAACTGAATCTTGGCGATTCCGACTGAATTCATCCTAGAAACAAGAGCTTCAAATTTAATGAAAATCGGTTGGGATATAGCTATAGTTCCCATATATATGTTTCATCGGATTTGGCATTTTAAGTCCTTCACATGCGGAATATTCACTCCACATCAATGCTTTTTGGTAACAGATATCAGATACAGCTTAGAAATAAGTGCCTAAAATTTTGTCCAGATCAGTTTAGATTTGAATATAGCTCCTATATATATTTTTTCCGATTTCAGGTTTATTGGGCACCAAATGGCTAATATCAGCCCAAATGGACTGAATTTTTGCACATCCGACGGAATTCATACTAGAAATAAGTACAGGACTGAAAAAACGTACCCTGTACGTTGGTGATGTACTGATTCATTCACACACTTTCGGATCTAGTCAACACTTTGCCGGGTCTCCCAACTGCAAAGCCGTGAGACTTTGAATGTAGCAATTATCGTCAGATTAATAAACTCTGAGCTTAGATTCATAACATTTTACACTTTTTTAATATCCGTAGCTGAAATTCGAA